ATGTATACCTGCTCTAAAACCCAACTTCCACCATAGTTAGAATAAATTTATTCATTCCTTTGATATTATAAAATCACAAGTGAAGACTCAATACTATAATTACCAAATACAGGTTAAAAAAAATTTTTAAAAAAGAGTACCACAATTTCAACAGAAGATGCCAAATGAAAGCAAAGACCATTTCAAGGTACCTGTAATACAAACAGTGATTTAAATCTTCTGCTGGATAATCATACACAACCTCCTGACCCTCCCCCCGTTTTAAAATTATTAACAAATTTCTCCTGTAAGAAAATACATAAATCAAGGAAACATTTGTGGGTCTGCCCCATTCCCATACGCGCAACTGACAAAGCAGTTCTATCAGCTCCTGTGATGGGAGCCAGGCCACAACCCGAGTGGGCAGAGTGTGTCGGAAAATGAGTCAGGATAAATACAGACTCCCAGCTACTGGGCTGCTGCAGAATTTTCCCCTGGCTTTGAAGGTAAATAGAATCAAAGTAACCACCAGAAGAACACCAAGCTGATTATACTGTGCATTCTCTTGTATATCTATACCTGTATTTATTCTTTAATCTGCCTGGAAATGCTTCTGAAATTTGAATTGAAGTGCTATGGAAACAGCACTGCAAATTTAAGTCTAGCTTGCTATAGATAACTAGGGCATTTTAAATAATAAAAAGACAGTTTAAGGATTCTATGCGCAAGGATTTAAGCACTGTCCTTAAACCAGCAACATACCTAACTAGAATGTGCAGTAACTTATATTTAAATTCAGTGAAATTGCACATACTTAACCTTCTGCCTGTTCCTTTTTTTGTTCTTTATCTGGGTCGCAGTGAGTGAAAACTACCAGGGCCATGCTCACTCTGCCCATCATGTTTTTAAAAGCAGTGCTGCTATATCAAGTAAACCAACATATAACCACAAACATGTCTATTTGAACTGCTTCTAACTGGAATGCTTTTTAATTATAAAGCAAACTAACCTAGCAACTTCAGGGAGAATCTAATTGAAGGTGCTTCCAAAGGAAAAGTAAATTTCCGAGTGGACAGGAGCGCGCGCACACACACACACACCCCCCAGCCTAGAAACTTCTGTGTGGTAAAAAGCCACTATAATTATTAAACTTGTTTTAAGGTTTCCGATTCCAGCTGGATCTTTTTCAGGAAAAAAAAATAGTTCAGGCAATAAAACCCTATTTTACTATTTTTCGTGAGTTACTACTGCAAGAATCTGTTTAAATCAGTTCTCTGAGTCTCCCACTACACAAATATTCAGAGTAGTCTTAAACTGTTTATAATTCAGAGATGTAATCTTCAAATAACGTCTCACTGGCGTTACATCATGTGATAAATGACTGAGTCCCAAACAGGATTTCAATCAAAATTAACAATTTATTAAACGAATAAAGGCAAGCAAACAGCGCTGGGTATGCTGGGAGTCTTTGCCATGCCAAGACGCACTCCATACAGTTCTCGTTTCTGGTTTATATATCCCCCAGCAATAGGCGGGTCTTAAACTTCTCTTGTTTTGGTCAGTAATAGGACCGGTTTAACCGGTTATACTGAAACGCCCGGCAGGGGACATCGCCCGCCCCCCGCCACTGTGAGGAGGCGGCTGGGGGGGTGCAAGATAAGAGCGATATATATTAACCTCTCTGCTTTTCTTAGGCTTGTGGTTATACAAGGGTATGTCATTATGCGGCCCTAGCATTGTTCCATATTAACACGAATCAGATGGACATATTTCACAATGAGGAGCCAAGTATCACCTCATAAAAGGCAGCTTCATCAGAGAAAACTGGAAATTTCTCAGCAATTTCAACCAAATTCAGCTGAATAGCAGCAGCAGACCAGTTCTTCCAGGTACCATCTTCACTGGAAATTCAAATGCACCAAGACACAACAGCCTTGGCAATAGGTAGCCTAGACACTTTGCCACTGTGCTTACCCCCATCATGTGCCTGTATCTGCTGCTGCCAGGGCAGAAGGTGCACACAACTGAGGCAGCGCAATGACACTGCCTGCGGGAGGGAGAAGCCACTGCTGCTCCAGCAGCCTGCAGCCCTGTGATGGCTCCCCCGCCTTCCAGAATCGAGGGGCCATGGCCACGGGACAGTACAGAGTGGGCTGTGCATGTAAGAATATGGGTAGCCATTACTGGCCACAGGAGCTTTCTGGATCTTGGTTCTTTGAGGGAGGGAACAAAATCATTCTCCCAACCAGTCTCTCACCTTGGGCAAATACCTGCTTCGCCTGTGTCAGAAGTTGACCATGAACATTGCTCTTTTTCCACTGCTCATTGTGCAATTGCATCTCACCACTCAATACCAAAGTTCCTCTTCCAAAAACATCGTGATTCCACCCCACTTTCTAGTGATCAGTGTAGCACAATTTAAGAACCACGTGGTTAAGCACATGAGCTCAATAATTAAGCGAGGAAACACAGTACACATTCAGAACACATTGTGGAAAGAAAATTTACACGCTTTTTATATGATTATTTCTGCCACTGCACTAGGCCTCTTCCAGTGCAGATTTGGATGACCTTGCCTCAGAGGAAGCTGTTTGGTACTGTAATCATGAATACTCTCACTGTACTTTAGGTCTCCACTGTGCTAAATGACATTCCACAAGAGTATAAGCAGCTTGAGAACCTGTGTTTTATTTTGGATTTCTGGTAATCTTTGAAACACTTTTATACTCAAATTTATCTAATTGTATCAATGCTCCAAGAATAGAGAAAAACAGCAGTTATTTTTAGAAAATACCTCGGAGGATCCTTCACATCAAAACAGTTTACTCATTCCTAGGATTAGATACCAGGTGACGCTATAGAATAAACCTGTTGTTTTCAGACTGTCTGATCTTTTATTTCTTTGAAAAGGCATAAATAGGAGGCCTTTGCAGAAAAATAAAAATGAGATGGAGGAATTACTGAGCCACAACAGAGATGCAACTTCTCAGCATTCCTTTGCACTGCCATTCTGCAGAGCAGAGCTGCTCTTCAGGCATGTGCTGGAACAAAACAAACCAAGCACAACCACAATAACCTATCACCAGACTATTTCAAAAGGCAATGAAAGAATACTCCAAATATATCATACTTTACCATGCCTTATGTACAAAAGATACAGAACTGAAATTAAAATGAAAGATAAAATAATTTCTCTTACAATTTCCTACCTGCCAAAACTACCCATACTTTTAAATATAATTCTACCAGCAGTTAAATACCACCCATCAAAATAAGGTACGCACACATACTGAAAACTGAAAGGAGGCACAAATTCTCTTTTTAGATATTATTTTGAATAGGCAAGAGTCAGAATACGAGATAGACATATTTATTAAAGAAAGCTCCCGAACTAGAAGAACATTTCAGAAGATCAAATCTGGTTTCTATGAAGCACTGAGACACAGTGTTTTTCAGTATTGCCATCAGGAGATATAAAGACAAAGACATATGTACTATTTGTTGTCTACTAGCTCTGCTTCTTTTGGGGTACTAGACAGATAGGGGAACAGGTAGGCACTGCAGAAAGAATAACAACAAGCTGGTCTGCACCATAAGAAATGAACCCTGTTCTTCCCATGTTATAGGACACAAAAATGCATCATGTGAATGCACAAGCAGATCAAATGAATTTTTTCTTAACTTGCAACTTTGTGCTCCTTTATTGCAGTTTATATACAACGTTACTCTTGTGGTAAAGAGACAGATTTTTAGTGTGTCCTTAAGTGTTAAAAGTTCATTACCGAAGTGCTTGATCATCCCATAAATCTGCAATTACAATGCAACTACAATTTTTTAAAGAAATTTTTCAGGATTTAAACTGAAACAAAAGAAAACACTAAAGGATTCTATTCATTTATCATCTTATCTTTTCATCACTGTCAGGCTGAGGATTATAATAGCAGCAGTAAACTCCAAGCTATAATGGATCTATTACACAGTAATTCAAATTAAAACATGAACTAATCACATTTTAAGTCTTAGCATTTTGAAATTTCTTCTGTGTTCAAAAACTGTTCCCTTGTGTAAAAATGAGAAAAAGCCAGGAAGGGTTGGTTAGCAGCTGTATAAGAAAACTCTGAAGTTTTTCTCATTAATATTTAAAAATTAATGGAAGATTTTTCCTATATTTTATGAGCCCTTCCAGTGTCTTGTGCTTACCTTCACAAATAAGAATAAAATAGAATAAAAAACATGTTTCTATTTGCAAACCAAGAAAACTCATTTGGAAATGAATGAACAGCACTTTCTTTGTCATGGAAATGAAGCTACCCAATATGCTGCATTAAACAAAGTATTCCTAAATCAACATCACCATTTAGCAATCTTCAGTCTGAAGGTAAAAATAAATCATATGACACTGCCCTACTAAAAAGAAGATTAGGGTATATTTTATTAGAGCAAATAAACAGGACTTTGATTCACCTATCAAATCACTCCACTGAGACATGCCACTTTCAGTGCCACTCTTCTCACCATTGGGATTTATTAGTTAACAGAGAGATACACATACCGGGCTGTCATCACATCTCTACTTCCGTTCTAGGATTCCTTTAGTCAAGAAAATAACCATAAATTAAGTTCTAAACTACCATGACAGGTACACCGGAGATCAATACCCAGATTGGTAGCCTTGAAGGACAGTAGAAGTGCAGTAATCTTAACATACCCTGTCCTGAGGAATTTTTTTGTGATTACAGAAAATGACAGAAGTAAAGAAACCATCGCATTTCATTCACAGTGTTCTTAAGTCAGTAACATAAGTTATAAATATCACTATTGCTTTACCACTGGTAAGTGAGTTCCAACTTGAACAACACTGAAAAGAAAATGCAAGAGGCTCATGCCCAAAGTTCCTCTCAACAATATTCCTTCTTATGAGTAACACATCTCATCACAATAACCTTCAAAAATCTGTACTGTCAGTGACAATATTGACTCAGCAACATTTGTTATTATTCTATTATAAGCTGGAAACCTACCTTCTTTGTTCTTCTCCATGTTCACCCGAAGGGACTGTCAAACATTCATCCATGTGACCATGCAATAACCTGAGAACATCCCCTCCTATCAGATATCCTTGAATAAAGGGAGAAAAATCAAGTGCATTTGTCTGAATGCAGCAAGACTTAAACTATAGTTCAAACTGTAATAAATGCTACCAGGCTTTTGGGGTTTTTTCCCCTGTTGGTATTTTATGCTACTTTAAAAATAGAGTCAGAAGGAGGGGAAGATATCTCATACCCTGGGGAGCCATCTGAACATTGCCAAGTGAGAAAAGTTGCAAGTCAGCAAGTAGGAAAGGGTGGATCAGGAGAAAGTGAGCCACCATCAGGGGACTGTGCAGAGTTAGTGTAACTCAGGAAAAGACTGATCCAACGGAAGCAAGGAAGCAAGTACTTCTCTCCCAGATTACAACAGCTAAAGTGGGAGACTCTTCCATTTTACCTATGCACTTCTGGGTTTAAGTTAAGGTTATACATTAACAAAACAAAGATTGATTTCTTCAATTAGTTAATTAACTTTAAAATCCTTTTTGGAGTCTTTGGAAGTTTTCTGTGAGAAAACCTTATGGGAAGATCTACTCAAAGCTCTGCTTGACTTAAGATTGCCAACAGTCAATCACAATTTATTTCAACTCCAAAGGGAAACTCCTACACTGCCTATACTACCACTGTACCTGTACAGAGCATACACATAGCATCACAATATTTGAAGACCCAGGACATTGCAGCCAGAAGATGAAAGTAAGGCCATAAGTCTAATCAGTAAAGATATTAACAAAATAGATGCTTCTTCATCAGTCTTTTCACAGCAGCGATAGGACATTGAAAAGAAATATAATTTTATGCTATCCTACAAATATTGTATTATAATCTAGTAACTGAAGAATACTAAGACTTTGTAGATTTTAAGCACAATTCAATGCTATTTTTTCAGTCTGACAGGCTAAACAAGTGATGTGTTTGTTTCCTAAACTCACCTTTCCTTCTTGCTAGAAGTGGTTAATATCAAATTCTGCATTTGAGCACGATGTAGGAACATAATTCCTTGGAGTTAGCATTATAGCAAAAAGATGTTTTTGAAAAATATTATTGGAATAATATTTTGAAGCGATGTGTATATTAACAAGTAATGCTGTGCAGCAAGACAGATCTCTACAGGGAAGTGGTGTTGAAGACCCAACAGTCACACTGTACACATTTCACAGGTTTATTTTGAAGCTACAGGAAATCTTCTCCCTGAATATACGTATCAGGGAATATTTCAGGATATATTTTTTAAACCTTAGAAATCAATATCAAACTAGTATTTATGCAACCAGTTCTAGCACTGGATTTTTAAATTCTTGATTTTGACACAGAGCAGTATGTCTCGGTAACAGTAGTTATATTTAAATTAATTTTTATGCTCTTCGTAGCTTTTTTGGATTTCTTTGTTTTGTTTATAAGGTGTCCCCCATCCATGTCATGCTACAGAATTAGCAGAATTATTTGTCTGACTCTAAAGCTCTGTTTTGACTTAAACAATAAACTGACTTCTAACCTAAGCCAGTTTTGCAGAAATGCATGGAAAAAGAAGTAATTTTCTTGTAACTAACTACCTCCAATATCTTAGTTCATTTTACAAACTATTTACCCATTATTTTCACTTTGCAGTAATTTCATTTAACTAAAGAGTTTCACCTACTAATCTATTTTTGATTAAGAGAGGGTATTGTAGTGTATCCCTATACAATAACATTTTGTTTATGAAGATGACAAAGAATTTTGCAGATACTGCCAAAGTTATTCCTCTTTCCCCTTTTTGGGGTAATTTCCTCCAGCCTGCTACAGTTTTACTGAGGCATATAGAGTAAGGTATTACACACTAAGTGTCAGATTCACTCTTCTTTCACAACAAGACAACTTGATTACAGGAGCATTTTCGGTTTTGATAGAGTAAGCCCTTTGCTCTAATTCTTTCTGACACCAGCCAGCTGATCTTCTCTAGAAAAGATGCTGCTTAACAAAGATAATGTCTATACCTGAGAAAAGTGAAAATGGAAAGCAACAAAGAACAAGCAAATATGCAACAAAATGCCCAGCTACTAAAAGCATATTACATCATTTTCACATTATTTCCTATGGGTATGAGTGGATAACATGACACTGTACTCTATCATTGTGGACTTCTGCTTCCCAAACAGCCAAGCAGGTCTCACTAGTGAGGTTCACCAGCCAGACAGATGTGGCACAGCACAAATCTGGGTCTCAGCTAATAAGATGTACTGGGATTAACAACATGAGTGCCACACCAGAGCTGCCAGCAGTGGGAGGACAAGGAGAATGGAGTTTATAGGAAGAGGCAACAGGTTTGAGAGAAGAAAGTTTTCTCCATGAAGTTTAGGACATAGTTAAGCAATGCACTACCTTTTTTTTTTTTAATAATAGATTGCAAGAGAAGCCATGTCAATCTGAATGTGCACAATGATTCTCATAGTCTAAAAACACAGTATGTTGAAAGATGTTAGCAATGCTGTCCTTGAAAGCTGAATGAGCAAATCTCCAAGAGCATACTAAAGCCATGTTTTAAAATACCATGGATAAAAAACCCTGATGTGACGTTTCAGTGTATGCCTTTTCAAAAAAACAGTACTCAAAAATCCCAGGGAGTAAGAAAGAACCTGCTGCTTTAACCTTCTTATGGTTCTACTACAAAATCTATTCAAAACAGTGATTTTGTAGGAAACTAGAAATCATTAGTCTTTACACCCTGAAAAACATTTCTGAAAAGATGACTTTTTTTCTTCTCTGTGGAACCAGCATGGCATAACTTCAGGGATCCTTGTTTTTTCATGTCAGAAGTTGCATTAAAAAAACCCATCTTAATTCCTAAATAAGATAAACAAAATTTGAAAGTTATTCTAGCCCGTCTCTTTCCGTCTTTCCCTCCTTTTGTTTTTCTTCCCCTAAGCTCCCAGCAAAACCATTCCCATTCTTAACTCCTCAGATTTCACATCCTGCTTCCAATCCTGTTGCACATCTTTTACTCAGTCTCAGGAACATGTAACCATGACCGCATACATCAGAATAATCTGAGATAATTTAAACCAGGACCAAAAGCCATTTAAAAAAAGTGTTATGAACATTATCATACCTTTAGAAAATGAGATTTAAATGATCTGTTCAGTATTTAGAAGAAAAACATGTAGAAAACCATTAGTGTCACTTTCAGCATAATCTTCCCTCTCTCTTTTCAGAACATTTATATATTTATTTACTGGATTGAACGTTTACATAAGAGAAACCCACTCACACACTTCAGCCACACTTGGGAGAATAATTTGATTTTTCAGATATTGCATTTACAATCAGTCTTTCAATAATTAAAGTTGCGTCAATCTTACCTTGGGCAACTTCACTTCCTGAACTGATTGGTGCTACACTCCAGAGCGTCTGCTGGAAGGCTGCATCAACATGTAAGCTACCATTGCCATAAGAGAGATGCTACAACCAGGAAAGAGAGAGGTTTTTATTTGGTATTAATTAAAAATCTCGTTACAGTAGACAATAATAATATCAAACATTCTCTTGGATCTTTTGTGCATAAATTGCTCATATTGACTGTATGAGTAAACACAAAATCAGACCTGGGTACTCTTCGAGGGACAGTAGAAATAAAGCTAGAATAATAACAGCATGAGACATACCTAAATGGCACAAAATGGTCACCTCTTTGGGGTCTTAGACCATAGCAAACACTCTGAAGAACTGATTATTAACTGCTGCAGGGGTCTTACACTGGTGCTCCTTCTTCTATATGCAATGGGATTTCCACAAAGTTTGAATACTAGGATGGGACATTAATCTGTGTTTCAGGTGTAACTCACCACTTAATTATTTCTTGTGGGCCACTGGCTTCCTAAAACTGCCATCAGATCAAAGAAATGGAGCAATCAACTTTGTAAGTTCCCAAAATATATTCTTGCACAAAGTTTTCACAATCCAAGCAAATCTGAAACTCTCTTTCCCCGAAAGGCTCACTTCCTGCCTAAGCATTTGATGGGTGCTCTTCTTGTACTGAGTTATTGCGTATCTTCTGTCAAAGTGGCAGGTCTTTCCAGTGAATGCCACAGATGCTTTCTTTTCTCAGAATTCTTCATATGTGTGTGTGCGTGCATGCGCACATGTGTTTTTCAACTAGTTCAAGGACATTATTGTCTCAGAATTTCTAATCTCAAGGTACATCATATACCACATCCATGCAAAAGCCTTTGTCCCACTAGGACATATACTTCTGATATACCGTTAAGTGACAAACAACATAAGATTATACAATTATAAGGTTATAGAACCAAGCGGTCTATAAATAAGCAGCTGCTTTGAAGTATACTGTTTATTGTACCAGGTAATAACTTTTCAAGTGCAGCAACATTTAGACACATTTATCAAAACTTTATTTTAAACCACTGGACAGCAATTACACAGTAGTATTGGTCTCTGTTCCTGTATGTTGTGACCAACACTAACACCTTTTGGCTAAAATTATTAACCAGACAGAAGACAAAAATGGCAATGGGAATGAGAAGGGGGTAGATTCCCAGTGATATGTACAGCTGCCTTCTCTCTTCCTGCCTGCACGTCTTCTAGCTGTACAACGGTACAAGAACTAATACATCAGCTTGTTTTGATGGCTCCCGTAAGAGCTAGTGACAGACGAGATCTCACAAAAGCCATTTTTTTTCCACTGCACCAGTGTCACTCAAGACATGTAATGGAGGATGTTCAATGAACAAACCACTGCTTCACCTCTTACTTTCCCCTTACATAGTCAACAGCAGACCAGGCTGAGAGATTACAACCCTCAGCATACCGCCAGTCCCATTCCTGCCCTCTTGGCCTGAACTATACTGTTAGGTTTTCTCTGAGATCACTACATGGATTCCAGTTAGGGACAATGAGCTCAATGAAGCAGGAATATTACTTTTAGTGGAAAACATGTGATTCAGGGCAAGCAAAAGAGAAAGAGGATAACAACACTGTCATTTAGATCTGCCATCACCAGAGCACTTTTTGTAACTGTGTGCTTTGTACATGTTAGTGAACTTACTTTCACACACAATGGTATCAGCTGAATTAGCATTCCATTTTATAGATAGGACACTGAACAAAACCACATTGCTGATATCTCTCTTCACCTGTTATTTTTATCCACTCATTTGACTCTAGTTACAGCTCTGAATATAACCCAGATGTCTCAAGCTGAGCCATCAGAGAATTAAATCTTTTAAAAGTATGGTATAAATGACCTAATATAACACATGACCTCCAAAGTAGGGAAACAGAGAGTATATCTCTGCAAATCTCTTCTTTCCTTCACCTCCCTATATTGCTTCCTGCATCCTTCAATTTACAGTTGAAGGCAGGGGTCTTGGCAACTGCAACTCCATATGTTGTGGTGTTCATCCCCTGGACACCATCCATAGGAAACAATAAAACGAAGTTTTGACCCTGTAGAGGAGGTAGCCTGTCAATGGATATTCAAGGATTCAATTACATCAAATGTATAGAAAAAAATCCAACAGATCAGAGATGCTAGCCTTAATCCTGGCATTGCCTAACTTCTCAGTGCTGTACTTTACAATCTCAATGTTATTTTAAAGCAACCTGCTGCCTGTTTGCAAATTATTTGGTGCTTGGTTTGCTACTTTCAGCACAATAAAACTATCAAAATGAAAGAGGATGTGGACATAACACTCACACTGGTGTTGAGCAGCCTCTGTACCTACTACACAGATCTTTGCTAGCTGGCATAACAGAGTATCTGGCAGAAGTAGCAGGTTGCCATCATCAATGAGGACAACAGGTGTAGCACGTGCCTTTCAGGTATGCAGTAACAACATTTGCAAAGCAGAAATATGTTTGGTTCAGGAGTCCTGCTGTCTGTTCTAATCCTGGTATGGATCTTCACAGTTACAGGCAGGTCCTTCAGCCTTCTGTGCCACCCAAATATCTTTTCTGCACTGGTGTTCAGGCTCAACCAAAAAGCTAGATTTCTCTTTCCTACTGATAGACTAACAATCTCCTAAATTAGCAAAACTTTTCCTTCAAGCTTCCTCTTGGTTAAGGTGTGTCAATGTTGACATCTCATCTAGCAGTATCTATTTCTATCTGCACCTTACATTATGATGTCTCTGGTTTCAGTCTTGGGCCATGCCAAATAGCAAGAATAGCAAAAGAAAAACAATAAAGAAAGTTTATTTTCTGGTACCTTTTGAGAACTGCTTACAAGGCAGAGCAATTCCCTGAATGCTTAAGTTCTTCACACAACAACAGCATCAACCACACTGCTTCAGAAGTTAGTACCAGAGCAGAGGTGCAGAGATGGAGGCTACAGACATGATCAAATTCAATCTATTTCTCTTTTGTACACGGAGACTCTGACAGCCCTTGCTATTTCCCCTTTTCTCTCTAACTGTCTTAAAATTACTACAATGATCAGGACAGAGAAGCAGTTTCAAACCATTTAGGCACCTATCCTCAATGACCCAAGAACTTCTGAGGTGTTCCAGGTCTTGAACATCTGTTCATTCCCGTGAGTGGTGCACAAGTGAGAACGCATGCATCTGAGTGAGGGGGAGCACTTTGTACATTTCTCTACTTTTATTTAGTCAGTTTGAGACTAGGCAAAGCAAAATGAAGATGTCCACGTGAGAGATATCTCTATTTTCAGACAGAAATCAAAAAATCTATAACTTTAAAAAAAAAAAAACCAAACACCACAAAAAAACCCACTAAAAACTCCAAACCACCAAACACAAAACTATACAACTATAGTCTCCCCCCTTTTTTTTTTTAAATAAGGAAGGAAAAAAAATATGCATTAAAAAAATTACAATGTATATGCATGACAGGAAAGCATAAGGATTCCACAGAGGGTAGGTGGGGGTAGTCTGCATTCCCCTCTTTATATTAGCTATCCTTCTGTGCTATAACTACAAAAAGCCTGAAGCACATCAGCTACTATGCTTTCAAATTATTATTATTTAGTATGATTAGACACAAGAGCTTTCATTAACAAAATATTAATTTTACAGAAATATTAAAATATTAGGAAATGTCAAAGTAGCCTATGGAAAAAGAATGGCTTCTGGTGAGCGCATCATATTACAATCTTCAATGGCATGATCCTGTACAATTTTTTCCACAAGTGCTGCCTCATTATATATACAGGATAAAGGAGTTCACTTCATGAACAGCTGCCCAGTGCTTTGTTTTCTCCTCAAGCTTCAGCCTGCAGCCTCATGCTTTATTCAATATAGTCAATTCTTCAAAGCTTTGAAAAGAGAATTATTAATTTCCTCATAGGCTTTTCTCTTGCTACCAACAATTACAGCATTTCACAGAACGCAACAAATGTTAATTAATTCATTTTCTCAAAACCCCAGAGAAGTAGCATTATAGCCCATTTTCCAACTGGGAGAGGACGTACATAATTACACTAAGAAATTTTCATTAATCTGGGATGCCCAAGTTGAGGTGACAAGACCCTGTTTCATTTGCACTGTAGACTGTGTTATATGCAGCTTTAATGTTCAAGGCACATCTTCCATTCATCTCAGTTACAGGTATCAAGACTGAGAAACTCTGGGACCTCAACTTCTAGCAGAAGGAAGAGACCTCAGGGCCACAATTCAGGAAAGGAATATTCCTGGTAAGGGATGAAGAGTTATTGACCTCTTGAAAGCAAGCCTGATATAAAACACGATCTGCTCAGCAAATTCCACAGCAGTCTCGTACAGATTCTAATTCTCCATGAAAATAATCACCTAAGCATTGTACCACCAATCCTCCACCTGCAATTTTCAGCCTGAAATTACATCTTCAAGTTGCTTTGTTCCACAGCCTCTCTGCTGCTCAGCCCCAACACTTCCATCTAACTTTTATCAGCACTGAGACAGCATTCCATAAAAAGCCAGTGTGGCTGTATATTTAAAAGATTTCATAAACTATATCAGTGCCATAATTTTTGCATTTTCTAATGCTTGTGGTTTTTCAAAGTCTAAGAAAATTATTTTTTGTGGTATAATTTATACATAATTTTCCTATATGTAAAAAAAATTCGTTAACCCCTCCCCCACCCCCCCTTCCAGTTACAGGAGGTGGCATTACACTGACACCCACATGAGCCATAGGTAGAGAAGGAAACTTTAAAACCACTTTTCAGACATCTGCCACCTAAACTAACACAAAATCACTAACAGGAATAGGCTGTCAGCATACCACATATAACTGCTGGGCCTTAATACGATGTGTTTCCTAGATATAGTTGCTGATAGCAGTTATCTAGCCTAATTGCACCAGGCCTCTCCCACTCTTTTCCTCTCCAAATCTTTATCCCAGTCCTGTATGTCTCACCTAGCCAATCCAACTTCCCAACCCAGTTACAGCCTACCTCATCACCCAGAATTAGGACCTCCTTCTGCTTCAAAAGGTTCTCCTCAGAC